CAACAAAAACTATGTTGCCGAAAGGTTGTGGACTACTCTCTCCGTCTATATTTTGGGTGCCGGAAACCACCTATATTTTTTACCAACTTGGACCATGTTGGTGAAAGTATACAATCAACAACAAAGAATATGTTGCTGAAAAGTGGAAAACCACTCTCCTTCCCCAACTTTTACCAACATGAGCCATGTTGCTAAAACCCTATCTTCAGCAATGTGGCTCATGTTGCTGAAAAGGGTGAGGAAATTCACCTCCCCTCCCCACCGGATTCCGGTGAAAATTTTTAGCAACATAAGTTACGTTGCTGATACTTTTTTTTCAGCAACATAGCTTATGTTGCTGATATATTAGCAACATGATTTTGGTTGGTAATGTATTACCCACCAAACCTTCTCCAACAAAACTTTTAGCAACCAAACCCATGTTGCTAAAGCACTTTTAGCAACATAGAAAGGACTTTCAGCAACATGCTTCCATGTTGCTGAAGATTGAGATTTTAGTAGTGACAACAGAAAGAAAAGTGAAAATTGAAGAAGAATACAAATTTTTTTGAAAAATGAAACAAATAAGAAAGCAATCAAAAACTCAATTAAGTAAGAGATGAGTACAAGAATTCAAAGAATGCCAAGCAGGAATGGAACGCAGAACACTGTGAAACCACCATCTAAGAGTTAAAATTTGGGGATTTTTAAATAGATATTGAAGTAATAAATTCATAATTAACCAATACATATTATCAGCTTTTCAAAACCTTAAAGTGGCCATGGCCCTACTCATCCTCCATCATTGGATTCGAAGATAAATGAAGTTAACGAAGATTTGATGAATTACTTTACCATATTTATCTAAAAAAATTCAAATTGATTTGAAAAAAAGTTAGATATCTTTTTATAATAAATTTTATATTCATAAATTAAAAATTAATTTTAATTATCAACTTATTTTATTATATTAAGTGATTATTTAAAAAGTACAGTACAAACAAACCGCACATTACACAAACAAACCACACATAACACGAACCACACATAACACGATTTTAAAGCCTAATAACAAAATAATAATTAATAAAGTTGTTTTAATTTTATTTAGAGTACTTCTAATATCCACCAAAGATTATTCTAATGTCCGGCTTGCCCAAGTCCGGCTCCACTCTATCTTTGCATGCCACTTTCCATCACTGGAGGCATTTGCGCTCCCGTATTCTGCCTTTGCATATTTCCATGCCATCCTGCATTTTTT